GGCTGCTGCCCCCAGCCCCGCGCCCCGCCTGCGCTCGTCCCTGCTCCAGCTCCTCCGCTTTTAGGGACACCGCCCTTTCCCTGTACTATGGGAACGCTCTGCGGCGTGAGGTGGAGCCACAGAGGAATCAAGAGACTTGTCACTACACTGTAATGGCAAATTGAATTTATTAAATTACTACCGCCTCATTTTTATGTCACAAGTTTTGTAAGTATTACATAAATAATTCTACTTCAAGTATTTTACTTAGTCTTCGCTGAATTAAAATCACAAAAATCAGTGTGGACTATTTTAAAGAAATTAAAAAATGACTGTTTAGGAGTTTGTAAAAAAAATAATTTTAAAAGTAGAACCATCATTTACATGAATCTTTTGTTTCCTGTCAGGATCCCCTAGAGCTTATGTTCTCAACTATTTAATAGCTTTGAGAATTAACACAAATAACGTGGTGAAAACGGGTGAGGAGAAAGTGTCATAATCAACCTGGATCAAATAACATTGTTGACACCAGTAGTGAAGTGTTTTTCTAGGATACAGTGACTGCAAACAGAAATGAAAATACTTTGTTGGAGTGAGTCTAAAAATAAGTCAGTTGATTGGTTATTCCTCTCTTTTGTTACGGTAGCCCCAGCTCGTACAGTCACGGGCATAAACGCAGAAATTAAGTGAATCTCATGACCATTGCTAAACCGCCTGTGCCCAGCTTTGACTCGCTGTCGGGTTCGAGTAAGTAGGCTGTTCTCCCACATTCCACCTTGCAAGATGGGACTGTTTGGGAGCAGTCCAGAATAGTTCATGTCCAGAGGAGCCTTTGGAGATCATCTCATCCAGCCCCCTGCTCAAAGCGAGGCCACCTAGACTGGAGTGCTCAGGATCTTGTCTGGTCAGGTCTTCAGTGTCTCCAGGGATGGGGATTCTTCAGCCTCTCTGGGCAACATGTTCAAGTCAGTCATCTTCATGGTAAAAAAAAACCCCAAACCAACCCCACAGCACTTGTCCACCAGGAGCCCAGGTCCTTTCCCGCAGAGCCGCCTTCAGGAGGTTGGCCCCCCGGTACTGTGGCACAGGGCGGTTCCTCCCCAGGCCCAGGGCTTTGCCGTGCGGTTGGTTGAACGTCATGGGATTCCAGCTGGCCCACTCCTCCAGCTGTTGAGGTCCCTCCGCACGGCTGCACAACCCTCCTGTGTTCCCACCGCTCCTGCCGGTGTTGCGTAGGCTGCTGCTGCCGGCGCGGCCTGTCGCGGCATCCAGGTTACTAAGAAAGATGTCAAGCAGCGCTGGATCCTGTACCAACCCCAGCAGTGCCACTGGAACATTGCAGGCCGCTCGCTCTGCCCTTTCCCTTCACTCTAAACAGAATGTCAGGGGGTGTCCCTCCGTTCTTTGCACTTTGCTTGGCTGTCAAAAATCCCAACGGCCAGTGTGTTAGCGAGTGCAGGCCCAACACAGATTCGTGTACCGAAGGCTTTGCTAAATTAGCCCATGTGTATTGCAGGGAGTTACTGCTGTTTCTCCTCTTGAAACACATTCTCTGTTCGTATCGGTCAAAGTGAGAAAATTGCTTTCGAAGCTGTTGTGTGGGTCCAATTCTTACTGTTTTTCTCATGTATCAGATGATACAGGAAATCGCCTTCGGTTCCAGCTGGAGTTGGAGTTTGTTCAATGTCTGGCAAATCCAAATTACCTCAACTGTGAGTACTTAAAAGTTAATATCAGGATCCTGAGGAATGAATATAGTTTACTGGTGTTTATTGTGACTGGTAGTGTTAAACAGGGAGAGAGGGCTAAACAAAGAAAAGGGAATTGGTCTTTCACAGCACAAAGGTAGGCTGTAAATAATTTAATTTGTCTAGATTTCTAACAGGTGGGTTTTTAAAAGCAAATGTTTTATTGGTTGAAATGAAAAATGTACTCACCTGTCGGGTGGAGAAATGAGTTCAAGTCTGTAGTTAAAAAGGAATGTCAGGTTAACAGTATTCCTTTATCTGAGAACAGAACATTATTGGTAATGGTAGTTTCAGGAATTCCCTTGAATTCCCTTGAACTTCGATGCTACAATCAAAATTCTGTTTCAAAACACTGTTCCCTTCCTTCCTGCTGTATGAAAGACACGTACCGTAAGGGAGATGAGACTAGTTTATTATGCCTACTCTGTTGACGTAAAACACATTTTTCCCTGTGGGTTTTTTTTTCTTTTAAGTTATTAAAATCTGATGGTAATGATAAAGTTTTGACTACGGTGCCTCTTTCTATAGTCTTGTGAATACATATTCTTCCAGTTTGGCAGATTGTTTTCCATAACTGACATTCCTTATTTGTCATTTTATTTCAGTTCTTGCACAAAGAGGCTACTTCAAAGACAAAGCTTTTGTAAATTATCTCAAATATTTACTTTATTGGAAAGAACCTGAATATGCAAAATACCTGAAGTAAGTGTTGAAGTCACTGAGGTTTCTGCATTTTAATGATTTGATGTTTACCTTGTTACGTACTGTACAGCAGCACGTCAGGAGTTTGATTTGTGCCTGTAACCTTACCTTTGCCCTCCCCGCTGTGCTTATATGGAACATCCATCTTCCCATTTCCAGCAGTCAGGGTGTAGCAGAAACAGACAGAATTGTAAAACTGATCTTCCACGAGTTGTGCGTCGACTCTTCCTTTCGCAGCCTGTGTCTGCACGTTACCTTTTGTACCACTGTGGTACAAAACCCCTTCAGTTGGGCCCAGTAAGTACATTTTAAGAGGGATTGTGCATTGTTGATGCTTATACGAAACAATGGATGACTCTGTGTTTTTGTGGGCACGCAAAATCCTTCCAATTTTGGAAGAACAGTTCTTAATTTGTTTTAAATGAGCTCTGAAAGGAGATTTTGTATTAGTTGTGCATTTGTTTTAGTAAGGTCTGGCCATTAGAAGAGATACTCTAAGCAAGCCTGTATATCCATTTAAAACTGGTTCAGGACTCCTTGTTTCCTCATCTAATACTTCAGTCCCTGAGTTGCAGTGGGTGGAATATGCACAGTCCTAAGTGGTTCAGCACTTGAGTAAGACACATCCATGACAAAACTAAACTAACGCACTGCAGACTTACTGGGGACTCGTTTTAGCGTACCGGGTGAAAACGAGCACTCAGGTACGTTTGTGTTTAATGCAGGTATCCTCAGTGTTTGCATATGTTGGAGCTGCTCCAGTATGAACATTTCCGCAAAGAACTGGTCAATGCTCAGTGTGCTAAATTCATCGACGAGCAACAGATTCTTCACTGGCAGCACTACTCGCGGAAAAGAATGCGCCTCCAGCAAGCCCTGGCAGAGCAGCAGCAACAAAACAACACCTCTGTGAAATGAAGAAGGCCTGGAAGAGTGGTGATGAAGTGTGCTTTGTGTCAGCTGGGGAGAGGAATGAACCCTGTGGTGGGTGTGGCTCTGATGTGTGCACCGTTCTGATTTATCACGTGACTTTTCTTCCGTCGCATTTTTTAAAGTTTCGGATTTATCACGTGACTTCTTTTCTTCCGTCGCATTTTTTAAAGGTAGAAGACTGGTAACACCTACTTCTGCAATTTACTTTTTAGCACGGACAATTTTGTGAGAGTATTACAGTAGTTGTTGGTTTTTAAAACAGAACGTAGTTCTGATGGCACTGACATCTAAGTGTCCAACACCAAGTATAGCTCAAAAGGCTGTTCTTGGGATGGCTTTTCCCAGGAGAATAACCACGTGTCTCACCGTAGCTAAGAACTCGTACTACTATTTTACAGCTGCAGGACGAGCAGAGCTGAAGTGATGATATTGTACAAAATATAAATTGTGGATTTTTGCCTTGAAAGCAAGGCAAGCTATTACTTGTCATTTCTGTTTACCTGGCAGTCGCTGGTGCTGGGGGTCTTACAGTTTTCCTCTGGAAATCAACGTGTGACGAGACAAGGAGTGCAGGCGCGGAGCAGAGATCAGCAGTCAGAAGCTTTGCAGATACTTTACGGAAGGAAACAGGCTGTAGCTGTGTCTGTGCCATTGACGTCGGCGTACTTTGACCTTGGTTTGCTGCCAGCCAAGTAGCGGCTGCTCTTAGGCTTCTCTGCGGTATGCGCAGGGAAAACAACGTGCTAAAAAACGTGTAAATGCTTGCAGCATTGGAGAAGCGTTTTGCCACTTTTTCCTGTATAGTTTTTACTGCAAGAACACAGATCTTGGCAGCTGCCAGGGATTTCATTTTCACATTTTAGATGGTATTCGTACTGCCTTCGTGTTGTATTTCATAGCCTTGTAGGAGCAGGTGCTGAAACTCTTAGCCCTTAACATGGCATCAGTGACACCAGGATTGGTAACCTTCAGCTTCTCAGACTGAACAGAAAAGCCATTAAATGCCTCTGGTGCTGAAAACTTATCTTAACAGCTTCAGTAGCTACATAAAGTCAGATTTAGGAAGAATAAGCAGGTTTTCCTGTTTCTACTATCCCTCCATCCCCCTTACTCACTACTAAAGGTATGACTTAGCAGTTAAAAGTCTTACTCATCAGTAATTGTAGGCTGCTCTCCTGGTTTTTAACATGAGCTCAGCTCCTATGAAGAGACTGACTGCAAACTCAAGTTTATTTGAACGTGAAAGGAAAGATACAGTTTTTGGTTGAAGGATTTTAATGGAATGTTTGTACCCAGAATTTGATATTTATTTTGACTAGCCTGAAGTAATTTACCGTCAAAGTTTCAAAACAGGTTAAGAGCTGCTTGAAAGGACACCACAAATAAGTTGAACATCTTCGTAAATGATTCACCACCGGAGGATTTAGTCTTCAGTAAACAACATGCGCACAAGCTCTGCTTTAAAACATTCTTCTTCAACCAGCTTCTGAGGCTGAAAGAAATGGTTTTAGGGGCAGTTCAGAAACCTCTTCTAGATGAGAGACATTCGTACATCCTAACACTAGCCATACTCCAGCAGTTGTTCTGGGAGGGTGGGGGGTGAGGTGGAGCAAGCAAGGTGAGAATAACTGAAAAATACCTGAGGGTTTTTCTGGCCTTGGGAGAGGCATTTCTAAGGAAGTAATTGCTAATTTAAATAACATGCACAAGTTCAAACTTGAGTTGTAGTCTGTGTGAATCAGTATACCGCACATACCCTGCTTCACTGCCCTAACTCAGCATGTGGATTTTTAAAAAATGTGCAAGTTGGGAAGCCTAAAAGCATGTTGCTAAGAATCTTCTCTACCCCTCAACCACTACCTGCTAAGTGTACATATTTTCCTCACTATATATTTATTATAGACCACATTATACGTAAAGAGTGGATCTCTCTTGAGGAACTGCTTGAGCGAGGAAGGGTGCGTGGATGGGAGCCGAAGCGCTGTTCCCAAGTGTCTGCCCTTTCTAAACGAGAGGGTATCAGAAACACGCGTGACATTCATCTACAGCCACGAGCTCCTGCAGTTCCCCACCCGAACGCCTGTAGACCCAGAACACAGTAAATCACTTACTGTTCCATATTTAAGTAGTGTAGGCACTCCGGTTAGTTTCAGATTCTTCCTGAATTCATTGTTGGGATCCTTCCAGCTGTTGGGGAAGGAGGGGTTAAGCACAGTGAAGTTAGCCTGTTACACTTCCTTCTAAAGGATGAACAAAGGTCTTTGCCTTACACCTCCCCAACCCCCTTCTCAGAACAAGCATGCAGATACTTCACATTAGGGGTGGTATAGACCTCAAAACTCAAACCAGAAAAAGCCTCGTTGCAGAAGAGGTCAGTTTGGTCAGTTCCAACAGGTTAGTTAGCTTCCAGCCCCAAACCAGCAAAGTTCTATCAGTTGTTGGCATTACACCAGTTACTTACTAGGCTCTGTCTCCCACTAGGCAGTAGATGAATACGGACTCATCGGGCATGTTATGAAGTTCCTTCCTCACAACCGGTTCAGCTAGGGAGCAATTTTTGACATCTGTTAGTATTTCACACTTTGACTGTGCTGCAGCATCACACAGGCCTGCTTTGACCAGCAAGGCTGCTAATTACTGTTCTGTCTGCTTCAGGCGGAGATCTGGTTATCCACAAGCTCTGCAGATTTTACACGCTCAGTGTTGAGGGGGACTGGGCTTTGAGGAAAGGCCAATTTCTGCTTTAACCAGAGAAATAATCGCTGTCGGCGTAAGCCCGTCAGGGCAGCGCTGAGCAGCTGCTGTCTGTGCCCTGGCAGACAGGATCTATAAAGGTCCGTTTTCTGAGGAACCGCTTTCATGCTCTGCCGCACACTTAGCAGGTCACTCGTGCCTCGACACGTCGAGCAGAGGCGAATTAACCGATCGTGAGCGTCACACCTCATGGTCTGCGGGGCCTTGAGCGCCGCGCCCCGCCCGCCCCCCTCCGCGGTGAAGGGCTGTTGCGAGGCCGCTCCGCT